CTCCTACAAGGGTATCCGGATCGCAGTGGGGTGTACTCCTACAAGGGTATCCGGATCACAGTGGGTTGTACTCCTACGAGAGTATCCAGATCGCAGTGGGTTGTTCTCCTACAAGGGTATCCGGATCGCTGTGGGTTGTACTCCTACGAGGGTATCCGGATCGCTGTGGGTTGTACTCCTACAAGGGTATCCGGATCGCTGTGGGTTGTACTCCTACGAGGGTATCCGGATCGCAGTGGGTTGTACTCCTCCGAGGGTATCCGGATCGCTGTGGGGTTAACTGTAACTCTAGTTTCTTCTGTTTAATGTGTGTTAAATAATAAACTGAAGGGTCGGAGCTGTCATACAGATTTGTGCAGATAGCTGCTGTAAACATGTGAAGCATTTACGGTTGATTAAATTATTTCTTAATGGTACAATGTAATAGAACAAAGGTAGAGAGGATATACGAATAAGTTCATTCTTCAGGTTAAGTGTGAAGAGCCTGTCAAACAACTAAGGCAGGCTATTTTCAAAAAGATTAAGTCCTTACAGCCACAAGTTAAGTAATCACGGAAGCTCTCATTGATTTTCCATGCAGCCTTACAATAACATCCATATCGTAAAAGTTGTTGGGTAGATAACCCTGAATTGTTTTTGCATAAATGGTATCCATAGTTATAATGCACACTAGCCGTAATATGTATATAGCAAAAGTGATTAGACTATTGTGTTGTCAGACAAGCTGCTTCTTTCACCTATCTATACCACTTTATATTTTGTAGGCCGACCTAGCGACATTGTTTTATATGTGGATGCCGTGCTGTGGATGTCTAAAACACGCCATGCCTCGACTCAGCAGCTCGTGTACGAATGAAACAGTCATTCTCCGACGTCAGAGTACAGTCCTCAACAGTAAACTGAACGCAAATTCGTGTCGATTGTCGTCTACCTCAAAAACACGCTTGCAACAATTTGCTCAAACAACATATGATAATAAGCGTTACCTTGAACCTGTCCAAAGCAGCAGAGAATGTTCGGGATGCTCTGGCGGTTCCTCTGATGAATGAACTTCAGAACTTTATGACTTGCAATTGGTTTTAACTTTGGAATAGGGAGTAGTCCTTAGCAATATATGACCCTTACAACCTTTCTTTGGAGATGTTTACGAGAAGTTAAAAACAAGCTGCTGGACCTTACAAGTAAATGAAACAGGTGGGGAGCAACGTTTCAACTTGTTTATAAGAAACAAATTGCAGTGTACAAAATGTTAAATTATTTTGGGTATCTATTGGTATTTAGTACTCAATCGAACAGGATTGATTTTGGTCTCCCAATAGGGCAAACCGATGAAATGTTTCAAAACAGTTTTCTAACGATAGAGAAGTTTTTGAACAAGAAGAGATCTTGCTGGTAATGTGCATGTTGAGCTGCAAGCTCAGTTGAAATAATACAATTTAACTAACTACAATATGTAGCTGTAATGCTAGTAAGACCCATCCAGTCTTTGCCATCACTGATTTTTTCTTTCATTAAATCACCTAACCTGATCTGACAGTATTGTGTTACTGCAACTGTTGACATAAGTAAATGGCCATTGGATTGGCATGTTAGATGATCATAGATGCAAAGCTGCAGATTAAATGGTTAACAATGAAAAAACATTTGCATGTTCTTAAGATACTCGTGTTATCCTCCATATGGTGTGACGGTTATAAATTGTTAATTTTGAAAGCTACTAGTATTCAAGATTAATTATACTCGAAATAGACTGATAAGTTAAATCAATCAACATATATTGAATGTAACTTAAAGCTACAATGTATAATACATCGGAAGCACGGGCGCTTTAAACAATTATTTTTTCAATAGTTTAGTGATCAATTAGTGTATCCTTGTCATCGAACCATGCCTATCTCCTCTTTTTACATTAATTTTTCAGACGGCCACGGATACAGTGATCCACATTAGCTAGCCATACAGAACCTATACCACTCGACAGACCAAGGTCAAGGTCCCGCATTACATCACATTTGTTTATATTTATCCAGTCCCGCCCTGTTCCTTTCACCTCGGTCTGCCCCGGGGAACGAGATTCACGTCAGATCGGCGAGAACTGCCGGACGAAGGCCATCGTCTTCGATACCTCCTAACCTTTGGAGAGGTTTGGTTATAATGATGGATATATCTAACGTCATAAACGAGCTGTTTAAGCTCGAAACAAAATTAATCATAGTCATTATTACTTTTCATTTTGTCGATACATTTTTGCGAATTTGTTGGTCGGTAGCCCATCATCCATGATTAATTTCTGACGAAACTGTAGCAGCCATAACTGATGTATATTGGCCATTGTTGTAAGATTGTGTATCGATCCCCAGGGGTACTGCTGTCTACCAAACCAGGGATTCATATGAGTCGTATGAACAACGAGGAGTAATCCATCACCACGTCATAAGTATAGACATGACAGCACTATATCTATCTAGGCCTTGGATCTCCCGCCATGATGAAATAACGACCCATCCAACACCAGCGTAGGCCGTTAACGAGCACTGTTCCCCGGGTGATTTGACCCTATGTCAATCCGCGTGTAAAAGTAGTCCCCGATCGTTAGTAAATCTTTTATTAATTACGTGGTCCTAGGGATATAATATAGGCCACACGAGATTGTTGCCTGCCTATGAAGTGATTTTGAAGTTACCGATGACAATCTTAACAGATGAAATTGTTAGATGTCAAACTTCGGTTTTGAAGCATGTCGACGACTGATGGCAGACATTTTGTACAATCACATCCAGAATCAACATTTTGTTCTTGAAAAATATTATGAAATAAAATTGTGATTGTACAGTACACTACTTGTATCGTTCTTCTCTAGTAAAAATATTTTACCGCCGAGATTATTTGGAAAAAATAGCTGTGTGAATGAACACATCTATTTATTAGTGTAAATACATTAGGTACAATGTATGAATAATTGCACCTGTATTTTGAAGTTACCGATGACAATCTTAACAGATGAAATTGTTAGATGTCAAACTTCGGTTTTGAAGCATGTCGACGACTGATGGCAGACATTTTGTACAATCACATCCAGAATCAACATTTTGTTCTTGAAAAATATTATGAAATAAAATTGTGATTGTACAGTACACTACTTGTATCGTTCTTCTCTAGTAAAAATATTTTACCGCCGAGATTATTTTGAAAAAATAGCTGTGTGAATGAACACATCTATTTATAAGTGTAAATACATTAGGTACAATGTATGAATAATTGCACTTGTATTTTGAACACACATGATGCCATTCCCTAAATAAACATCAGGATTTGGCCGTCATTACACACAGCTCCAATATTTAATGCAACTTATTAATATAACTGTGTGAGACTTTTAACATATTTACCCAGGTCAGTACAGATAGCACTCCATCAATCTCAGTAAAAGTACAATTCGGTAGAAGATAAAGAAATATCCTCTTCAATTACGTATGTACATGTATTTAAGTTTTGCCTCACTTTAGATAACGTGAAATGTGTTTTTTCTTATATCCATTAAAACCCCGCTGATAAACAAAAATATTTTAATAACTAAATAATATAATAGAGCTGAAACTTTTCCGACAAATTGGGATGTGTCCTGTAAGACCACCCACTGGTGCTTTGAAGTGGAAAGGAATTATTTTCCTATCAAAATTAAAGCCAATCAGGAGGAATCACCGGGCGTTTCGGGAGCTGTGTGAAACCTATAACATCTGCATACCGTTTGTAGCGGGACGTAATGCGCTGGTATCACTTTCTACGTACACGAGTGTTGATTAAATAAATCCTTTGAACATCATGGATAATGTTTAAGAAATAAGGAATCATTATAAAAAACTAATAACTTCATTGCATGTCAAATAGCAGGTGCTGTCTGAAATAAACATGTTTATTAAAACCGCATGTGTGCACCTGACAGCCACAACATCAAGAGAAACATAAGCCTATGTCACTATCTTATAAAACATGCACTAACCTTTTTACTGCATGTTGACTCATATTTATAGACCTCAGAAACGATGTAGCAATTTCAGCTGAGCAGTATATAGATACATATACATCGTAAGTAAATCAAGGATTTGTTTTAGTTGTTAGGTTTTTGACGATCTCTCCTGCGACCAGTACTCGTTGATCATTATAACGCACCTGAGTGGACGAGAAAATGTGTTTGGGCCGATTCCACTGTAGTGTATACAAATGGTTTCTTAATCTGATGAGGTTATTTCCCCAATCTATCGCCCAACAGTTGTCCCACAATTGTATGTGACACTCTCTGTAATAGCGGACGTTCCTCTCGTCCTTGTTAATTCCATTGTGTGACAGGATCTGTAATGGAGATTGCCCTTTCAGCCCTAGTGTAATGTTTCAGCCCTTGTGTACTTTTTCAGCCCTTGGGTAATTTCGCTGACTTTGGGTTTTGTGTGTGCGCGTCCATTTTTTTCAGTTTCTGTTATAGGCCACTTTCATACCAGTCCTTGTACATGTATAATCCCATTCTGTGATACCGTCTGTAACAGACAGTTTGTCTCTCAGTCCTCGTTTAATCCGGCTGAATTTGTTTTTTTCTGTGTCCTTGTAGCACTCCTTAGGTTGCTTTCGGGCGTCGTTATACTTATACATAATTGAAAAACATTTTATAAAGCCAAATATAGGTCATATTTACACCTTTTCTGATGGGTTCCTACTTGACCATACCAGCGGATCACACCATCTCAAGCTTCGATACACCTCGTGCACTTTGGTGTGTAGTTATGATCGACGTTCAGTTGTCTCCTGACGAGAGAAAACGGCAGGTAAACGAGGAAAACAACAAATGGCTGGGTCTAATGAATATCCATTGTACATGAAGATTAATTCAATCTAACATTTGGATAGGCTATAGTTCATACAAGATATTAAATGGTTTCCCGTTGAATACTACATTTATAAATATTTCACTCGTATGACAGAATAAACAATATATATATATATGTGATATTTTAAAAAAAAGTCCAACGTGAACCGGGTAAAATATAAATGGTATGCAACGGGGAAACTATATTTTTTTCTAATGTTCGCACGACATGAATATTGTTGCTTAAAATGGCGTGGAAATTAGTAGCCCAATATTTGACGCCGAGTTCTACATGACACCACGCTTGACAAAAATGCAGAGTGCCATTTCAAATTGAATACACGACGCTATTCTGCCGTTTGGTGCTATTATCTGGTACACTGTAAGATTTCCAGACAAAAATGATAGCAATTATGTAGTTATGTAAATATCATACTGTATGTTGCAAAATAACTACATATCATTCTGACTTCGCTTCATTTGAAGGACACACCAAACAAACAATAGAAGCCGAGGACAAATCAAACAAAAGATAGAAGCTGAAGACAAATTTACACAAACAATAGAAACCGAGGACAAATTAACATAAACAATAGAATCCGAGGACAAATTAACACAAACAATAGAAACCGAGGACAAATTAACACAAACAATAGAAACCGAGGACAAATTAAAACAAACAATAGAAACCGAGGACAAATTAAAACAAACAATAGAAACCGAGGACAAATCAAACAAACGATAGAAACCGAGGACAAATTAAACAAACGATAGAAACCGACGAATAATTAAACCTAATCAATTGAAAATGAGGCCAAATCGAAACGAACAATTGGAACCCAGTACACACCAAACAAACAAAAGGAACTCATGGTCAATCAAATAAACGATAGAAACCGAGGACAAATTAACACAAACAACAGGAAACGAGGGAACACAAAATCAAACGGACAAAGGACATGAAAGTCGTTAAAAGTGGTTGGCGCAAATAAGTGCATTATAAGGGTACGTGTTTTGTTTGCCACAAACGACACCCATCATAATATATCCCCACTTATTTACTAACTTATGTCGGTCTCATGAACAGTAGAAAAGTATTAAATCAACAGATGGACCAAAAAACGCACATTGTGAAATCATGTCATGATGGCAACCGTAATAATACAGCGAAAAGTACGTCTCATCGAACATAACATGTGACAAAATCAGCGTTGAAGAAGAAAAGAAAACAGCTAACAGAAACGGAGATGCTCAACAGGGAACTCGAGACTGAGAACCACGAGTTTAGGGAACAATTTCTTACACTTCAAACTCATTCAATGAAGTACAACTTAATATTTTCGGGTATCGCAAGCGAGGCTAGTATTGATGAGGAAAGCACAGAGAAAGCTCTCAAAACCTTTATCGAGCACCATCTGGAGATAATGGATGCCAAGAACATAGCGTTCCAAAACGTGCATCGTCTCCGCCCTCGTCGTGATGGCAAACGGAGGAGCATTATTGCCAAAGTCGTAAATCACAACGATCTTGATCGTGTGCTTAAGGCCGCACCTGAAAAGCTTAGCAATAAACCGGAACACTCCATCAAGCTGCAGTATCCGACTAAGATCAGTGACCGCCGTTCTGCCCTCTATCCGATTATGAAAGAGTACAGACGAAAGGGCGACACGGCCAAAATAGTGTACAATATATTATATGTGAACGGTAGCCCCTACCAACCAGTCGAATCATCTGGTAATCAGCGATGGGATACCCGCCCATCCCCGGTCAATCACCACCCTAACCATCGCGCAACTACAGACATCCACCACGCAACCCCTGGCAGTCACCACGCACCCCTGGCAGTCACCGCGCACCCTCTGGCAGTCACCGCGCACCCTCTGGTAGTCAACGCGCACCCTCTGGCAGTCAACGAGCACCCTCTGGCAATAACCGCGCACCCTCTGGCAGTAACCGCGCACCCTCTGGCAGTCACCGCGCACCCTCTGGCAGTCATTGCGCACCCTCCGGCAGTCACCGCGCACCCTCTGGCAGCCACCGCGCACCCTCTGACAGTCACCGCGCACCCTCTGGAAGTCATCGCGCACCCTCTGGCAGTCACCGCGCACCCTCTGGCAGTCATCGCGCACCCTCTGGCAGTCATCGCGCACCCAATGAACACTACCTCGACAATCAACGCGCACATGCACGTCTCACCGATAATCGCACCCCTCTCGCTCCTAGCAACGCCTTTCCTCCAGGACACGTGATTGAAACCCTCCCATCAGATCCCCAACCCGACACTCAGTCTCTACGAGAGACTGTCCTATAGGACAATACATCGTACACCTCAAACTTTGCACCAGATAAGTCCAATGAACTTAAGTTTGGCTTCCTAAATGTATGTGGAATAATATCAAAATTACTTGATCCCGAATTCCAAAACCTAATAATTAATTACGATGTTTTAATTTGTACGGAAACAAAAATTGATGAATATGATGAGCTGAATCTACCAAATGGTTATGTATCCTTTTCAAAATACAGAACTAAATCTAAACGTAAATCTGGAGGAATAACTGTTATCTTTAAGAAATGCTTATCCAATTACGTACGTTTTCATAAAACACAGTCTGAATATGTTCTGTGGCTTGAAATATCTAAAGACCTGTCCCTCCTAAATGAGAATATACTTACAGGTTGTGTATATACCCCTCCTGAGAATTCAAAGTATTCCTCAGACAGCGCATTCACAGAAATTGAGGATGAGTTGATTATGTTATCACATGAAAATAAAAAAATCGTGCTTGGGGGCGATTTTAATTCAAGAACTTCTAAAATCGTAGATTATATTGAACCCGATGAAAATGTATATGACAATTTAGACATTGTTGAAAACAATTTGATTATCGACAATATGTTTTCTTTACAGCGATTAGTTCAACACGATATCCCCCTCCCAAGATTTTCCCAAGATAAAGGACGTTTTAATAACTTT